TGAATTTACTCATAATTAAGGTCTTTTCTTTGCATGTTTCAACTTTTTTATATTGGATTACAACCTTTACTTATTTTACTAATATTATCTTTTTTCATATGTACATAACTTTTTAAAACTTTTATTTACCAATAAGACTTTTTTAAAGCTTTTAATCATTTATATTTTAGATAGATGACCTTTTAGATATTTCGTAAGTAAACAATAACTGCAACGTTTTCAGTGTTAAAGTCAAGTTAATATTAAGTGTTAAAGCAACGCTAAAAATTAGAATCAATCTGAAAAAAATGTCAAAAATACTTTGATGATGTCCACACGCAGAAATTTGGTTCACAACGGTCGTTTCTCTTAAAGCGCAATAAAATAATATTTATACGGTGTCGGATTTAGTTCTTGCGCCGGCCGTGGTGGTCTAATATTTGTGTCTGCTTATAGCTTAAAAATCTATTAAATCAAAATATTCAACTAAAAAGATATATATATATATATATATTTTAAGTAACAAGCGAACAGCTCTGCAAAACTATTATACAAATAAAAATATCTATTATAACACCAAAAATGCTAAAGTTACCCAAATTTTAAACAAACTTCCTACAAAAATCGTCAATTCCTTTATCAAATTTTACCGTACGTTCGTTTGTACGTACGTTCACGTATGTCTTCAACCTTTTGCTAATTGCGTTGCTTACAACAAAGCGAAAAATAGAATTAATGTTCCAATATTAAAAAATGAGCACTTATTTTATGTTCAAGCAAAAATGGCACCAATTGAATTGGAAATTTGTTTGCCAAATTCATTGATTTCTATTTTTGAGTAGTTCAATTATAACATGTTTTAAATCAGTGAATGTTTTAACTCCCTAACGATAGATCCATCTTTTCAGAATATTCGTTAATGAGCATATAAGCTTTTCTCATTATTACATTATCTCTAAATTTAATAAAGAAACTCCTTGAACAATTAATTAAAAGTATCATCACAAGCTTCCAATTCAACATTTATTTGATCTAAAAGCTTTAAAATTCTTGCCTTTTCATATGAAGCTGTGGGGACAAAATTATATTTGTATCAAGTTCAACATACTACAAATTTTCTTTTACAAATCTGTTTCTTCTAATTTATATTCCATTTCCCTGAAAGTTGTTGGGCTTCTATTTTCTAATAGCAAAATATATTTCTAAAAGTTTCACAATGAAACTTATAACGTTGCATGAGTATCAAGGGTGATTTCTGGATTTTGGAGAAATTTGCTAATGCTGGTAGCACGTTCAAGTATATAAATTTGCTGCCTATGCGGACACAGTGAAACATTTCGAATTCATACAAAAGATCTTCCTTTCCAAAGAAGAAGAAAAATGAGGTCTCTATCTGGCTGCAAAAAAATGTATATTATCGAAAAAAGCTGCTGTTACGTGTTTGATTATGACACAGTGAATCTTTCAGAACCCAGATTGTATCTTCAAGTCATTCAAGTGAGGTCCTTATAAAGTTGATGAGTCGGAGGTATTAAATAGCCGAAAAAATTATTAACAAAATAAACAGCACAATTTGCTTCAATTCTTAGAAAAACTTGAAAATGTGTAGAAAACTTCCTGGTGACGGCAACATACTGGGACTATCAGTACTCTTATTCGTTTGTGAAGAAATTTTTACTAATAAAATGTATGAATTATTTCAATATACAGAAATGGTTCGTGGTTTTTGGGGAAATCCGCAGCTTAGTTGTAGTCAGAAAACAATTTGTTTGCTTTTTGGGAAATGTTGACATTTAGTTTAGTCCTTTGTCTATTCCATCCCTGATTGGAGATGTTAATCTCTGGCTGAGAAAGCTTTTATTGTTTGGATCGAAAATCGTCGAAGCCTTAGAAAACACTTTAACATTCTTTTCCGATGAATTGCTATATTGTCCTTCTGAATTGTTGCATTCGAATATCTGAAAATGTTGGTAAGATAAAGTCATTCTCTACCGATTTGATTGACTGAATGTACAGGGTGCTTCCTTATTGACGGGGTTGACACCCCCCTAGACCGTTTATTTCAAAAAAATTATTGAACAGCTCTGATGCCATGTGGCCTGGCATTGTCATCAATAATGATGAACTGGTCCCGTAATTCATCACGTAGGGGTATGATTCTATGAATAATAACATTTGCACGGTAATATGCACCTGTCATCGACCCCGATAAGTGAATAAGTGAGGTTCTTCTATTGAACATAATACCCCCTTAAAAACATTTGTGTACCACGGGCTGATTGGGAAATATAGCGATCTTCTCGTATCGTGGTGACGTGAGGACGACCACTTCGAGGTCTGCTGTTCACTGGACCACTCTCTTCATAGCGTCCAATTGTCCTGTTAACTGTGCTTCTAAGAAAGTTCAGCCTAGTGGAAATATTGTGCCTAGATAAACCTTCTTGCCACAGAGCAATAATTCTAGTCCTATCACAAGCTGATAACTCGTTTCTAGCCATGCTACACGATTCTTGCACGATTTAGATACTAATGCCGGCTGCTAGTGATCAATATAAAAGTGCTATTTTTGCAGCATCACAATTTAAAAGGGGTAAACAATTTTTTTTTGGAAATTCCATTAGCTCCTTTACTTACAAACAAGTATGTTTTATTTAACAATAAAACAATTTTGTATAAATCAAGCGTATGCAGTAAATACAGGGGGGGGATGCAAGACTTTTGAAAGTGAGTGTATTTTTAGATGAGTCGATTAGATTGTTTTCCTGATTTCAAAAATATGTATCTATTGCCTATTAGCCGTTTTTTCTGCATTATGTTTAAAAAAATTGTAAATAGCAACTAAATAAAGTAGCCTGAAATGAAACAAAAAAGTATAGAAAGAGAACATAACGGAATTTATTGCTACTAGAAATTTCAAAACAAGTTAAATAAATAAAAACAAAATCGTTGAAACCACTGATTTTGTATATGACCTCCGTTAAACGGTAGACATGATCTATAATCTACTTCAATTTTATCTATAACGTTTTAAATATATTGATTATGATTAATATTCATATCATTAAGTGCATCCACTATTTTAAGGCGTAAATCATTAAGGTTTATAACTAGAGTCTCATACACAATATTCTTCAAATAACCCTAGAGAAAAGATTCAACAGGCGTTCGGTCGGGGCTATTTGGAGGCCATTGGATAGGACCCGCTCGTCCAATACATGTATCAAGATTTTCATTTAAAAAAAGTGCTACCGGGCGAAGACTAAGGGGTAGAGAGAACGCCTTGTCGAATTTCACGGCTACTTTGAAGTGTTGCTACTTATAATTTTTAAAACGTAATATAGGAAAACGGCTAATACAAATACAGGCAAAACATATTTTTGAAATCGGGAAACACATTCCTATTCGTATGTCTAAAAATATTTAGGGCGTTCCATTAAAAAAAGACTATGTCAAATTTCGACATTTACATGTTTTTTATTTTTATTTTAAATTCAGATTTAATAAAATTGAGTAAAATTAAACTTTTATGTTGGTCACTTTCAAAATTTTTTGAAATAAACGATCTAGGGGGAGTGTCAACTTATGAGGAAACACCCTGTACATTTGTTATTTATATAACAGAATATTTTAATATCTGGTTTTAATAATTATTAGACATTTCCAAAACTGGAGTTTTAGCTCTTTGTCAATGATTGATCGGAAGTACGATCTGGAATGTAATTTTCACAAATCATAGATTCTGAAAATATAGTATACTTTTAGGTAGTAGATAAGTTGCGAAGTGTTTAAACAATCATTTAAGTCGAGGCAACACTTCCGTTAGATTTAGCATTTTCGTAACTTTTCTCTTTTTAGTTATTTAAACTAGGGCTCGTAATCAAACTCGAGTATTCGAATACTCAAAAAGCGAATAATTATGTCTAGTGATAACTCGAATATTCGAATACTTACTCGAATATACTAATAGTCGAATACTCGAATACTTCAACATTATTAAACTCACAACGTGCAAATATCTTTATATGCACTTTGTATAATTTTATAAAATAAATTATTCATACTCTACAAGCATTTCCTTATTTTATAAGGAATGTGTTCAATTATTTATTTTGTGTATTCGCATAAAATTGAGGCATAAAGAAATTCGATGTGCTAGAGGGGGTGGCTGTGAAAAATCCTGTATGTTTACATGGTTTTTGAGCATCACATTGAAATCATGTACTTACAATTTCTTTACTAGTTGAATACTCGAATACTCGCATATTCGAATACTCCAATATTCGACTACTCGATTATTCAAATATTCGATAGATATTCGAGTATTCGAATAATTTTACTATTCGAATAAACCAGTAACCGGGTATTCAAATTTCAGATTTTTTAAAATTCCGAGCACTAATTTAAAATATAAACAGACCATAAATGTTCCGTCAATACTGGTATCGAATATTCTTAATCTGGTTAGATGTGTCTACAAATTAATTGATGTATTAGTAAATATTACATTACAATACTTGTAATAAAATACTTTCAGCTTTTTGGAATAATTGGTTAAAATTACTTTTTACTTCAAAAGCTTCCAATGCATTTCTCTCAAAAATAGTATTAAGTACTTCAAGAGCTGGAAAACATTATTGGACATGAAGTATGTTATTATGACAAAACTATAGTTAAAAAAGGTAGACAAAAATTTTTATGTAGACTAAAAGTCATATGAAGGTCTGTTGCAAAATGTTTAAAGCCATGGAAGGTGTCTTTTATTTTTTCCTTGAAGTTTCTATCGTAAGAACGCCATTGTTGTAAAATTAAATATTTTTAACACTTTCTATCAGCACAGTCCGATAAATCACCTCTATTGTTTGACAACTAACTAAAGTAGTTTCTATACATGAATTAAACAAGTTCATCCTCTTTGCTGTAAAAATGCGACATTTTATTAGACATTTTCGATGCATTTACGAACGAAAAAATCCGTTATCTCATGTGGTAGCAAGTAAAAGGTGGAAAATGTAAAAGCTTAATAATGCTCATAATATATTTTAAATTATCTATAACTTACTATGATTAAAACTAATTTGGAATTTATGACATAGTTTTCGCTAAGTTACAACGTACTTCCAAGTGCATAATAGACGTTTTTATCTTCCATTATGATACTAACTTTGAAAGGCTTGATGTTTCATCAACTCCCTAAATGCACCATTTTCCTTATGTAAGAGTTCTTGATAGTTGCCCTTCTCTACAATTTGACCATCTCGCAATACCGCAATGGTGTCGGCATTCTGGATGGTGGATAGACGATGAGCAATAGTGAGCACTGTTCGACCTTTCATTATCTTTTCTAGAGCATCTTGAACCAATCTTTCCGACTGAGCATCCAAAGCGCTAAGAAAGACAATTATTAGTTAAACATATTTTCCGATTCGGGATTTATTGTTTTACCTAGTAGCTTCATCTAGCAGAAGAATCTTAGGGTTTTTAATTAAAGCTCTCGCAATGGCAACTCTCTGTTTTTGACCTCCGCTCAACATCACTCCTCTTTCACCTACTACTGTATCAAAACCTTCAGGTAATTGTTGAACAAACTCGTGTACGTTAGCCTCTTTTGACACTTGAATCAGCTCATCTTGTGTGATGGTTTCAGGATTGTCTGCACCGTAAAGGATATTATCTCTTATTGAACTGAAAAAGTAAACCAATTGTTGTACATGAGAATGCTATTAAAACAATATTTTGTTATTAGGCCGTACCTAAATTTAAACAGACTGAACTTAAACTAGACTGAACTTAGACTAAATTTAAATAGACAGATTTAATGAAAACTGAAATAGAAAAAGGAAAATGTTTTGTCATATAAACAAAAAGTTATAAATTTTATAGGATCTCGAGGCTTAAATCAACGACAAGGTATTTCATACAACTAATGGTTTTAGTGAATTAATTAAATATAATATTTTGACACTATGTATTATGGAAACGACCATTTTGCGAATATTTTTTATTAGTTTCTGTTGGAGATCCCCTCAGTCGCTGGAAGTTCGAGCTTTAGGCAATGGAAATGACTGGCGTGTGCATGCGAATTAGACAGATTGGTGGATGCGCAAAATTATAAACTATCAGTCAATTTCTCAAGAGGAATGCAATGTACTATTTTAGGGTAGAACTATCTTGAAATGGTTAATTTCAATCGGTTTATTTTCATTTCTGTCCAAGTAAAAGAAAACCAACACACAAGAACATACTTAATAATAACAAAATGTTTACTATCTATGGCTCACGGACAACGGCTTTTTGACAACAGCTTAATTTTGCGACTTTTAAAGACTGAGTTGTCCAGGAGAAAAAATTTGGGGTGGCGTCGTTTTCTATAGCCTATAATCTTAAACGTGGGGCCTAACGGCCGGCACACATTTATCCGATCCGATTCCCATCAGAGTCATCTTCCGTCGACGCCCAAACAATCGGATCGGAAAGGGGAAGGCACACATCTCATACACGCTTCAGTCTTCGTTCAGATTTTTGGCTCCGATAGTCTTAGGTGGCCGTCCCACAGAATCACCGGCGATTACCGTGACTATCAAGCAGATTTCCGACATATGCGATTCCCATTGAACGGTCTCACAGAAAGCCTCACTAGTCATCCACTGCTAATCACTGTTTCGAAATTTGGTAGTTTGGTAGAAGGTATCGAATGTGCTCATTTGGTTTCGAAATTATATCGGCTTTGTTCGGTCCCTTTCATATAAAGGGTGGTTATAAACTTGTAAGCAGTGGAAGCCGGTGAATGATTGCTGTGAGGTCGTTCGTTACATATTCCCTGATTTTAGTCGGTGGTAGTGGATGATAGTTGATGACAGTGGTAGTTGTGAAACCGCTGCCACATGCAGTAGCGATTCGCTAATCTAAGGGAAAGCAAAAATTGCAGCAGTAGTTTTAAAAAAGGTTCAAACTGTTAACGAGTGTGACTTGGCTACGGTGGCACTTTGTTTAGACAACGAAGAATAAGAAAAACGAATAAATTCGAGGGAAAACAGGAA